TTGAGGAGTTCAGCCTTGTCCCCCCTGTCCATCACCAATTGTTTCTGCCCATTTAGCAGTGGTCCTATTCCTCCCTGGGCCTTCCTTTTACTCCCTATATATCTAAAAAACAATTTCTTGTTGTCCTTTACTTGGGATGCCATCCTCAGCTCCATGGTAGCTTTGGCCTGTCTAACTGCCTCCCTACAAGCACAAGCAGAGGAGGTATACTCCTCTTTGGTGATCTCTCCCTGTTTCCACTTTTTATGTGCTCCCCTTTTGGCCCTTAGGCTGCCCTGGATTTCTCTGCTCAGCCAAGGAAGCCTCCTGGCCCTCTTCCCTCCTTTTCCTCGCATCGGGATCGTCTCGCCTTGTGCCTGAAGGATCATTTCCTTACGGTAAGAAGCTCTAAGAAGGGCTCTAAGAAGCTCTAAGAAGGGCTCTAACCTTGGGCAGGTTAGAAACCTGCGTGAACGGTGGGACTTTGCCGTCTGCATCTCCCAGCAGATGTCTGGGTAGATTAGGCCCCCCATGACTACCGCCTCTTTAGCTTTTATGGTCTCCGAGAGCTGCCTCAGGAGCCCTGAATCTATTTCTTCCCCTTGGTGTGGGGGTCTGTAGCAGACCCCTACCACCAAATCCCTTTCTCCTTGCCCCCCGTGTAGCCTAACCCACAATCCTTTTACTTCCTCATCCTTCGATTCCGTCTTGATGAGGGTTGATGTATATTGTTCACTGACATAGAGCGCAACCCCTCTCCCTTTTTTCCTCACCCTGTCCTTTCTGTACAATCTATAACCCTCAATATGTACCGCCCAGTCGTGGGACGAATCCCACCAGGTTTCTGTTAGCCCTACTAAGTCATAGGTGTTTTGTGCAAGCAGGAGCACTAGTTCATCCTGCTTGTTCCCCATGCTCCTAGCATTAGTGTATAGGCACTTGAGCCCTGCGACTGGTGCCTTTGCTGCCCCCCCGATCTGAATCCCAAGGGGCCCCTTATTTCTTACCTTCTCGTTGCTTACCTGTGCTGTAGTGCTGGCCGCCCCATGGCTTGCAGGTTCCCAATGTTCTCCTTCTTCAGGCTGGGCTGTCCTTGTGGGTGCCACATGGTTTGGTGGTCCACAGCTTCCCACGCCCTCATCTTCCCCTCCCCCCGACGAGCCTAGTTTAAAGCTTAGGTTCTTGACTGTGGCAGTATTTGAGACATCTCCTTTCACTGGCAGGACAAGTGGCTGGTCTCATTTCCTGGGATAGCAGCTTAATTCCATGGGATGTTTGCCTTACCTTCTTCCCAGTTTCTCAATGCTTTGTGCACTTGCCTGAAAGATGGGGAGTCAAGGTACAATGCTGTTCCACACACTAAGTAACCCAAGTGCAGCCTGCGATGCACTCTGACTTATCCTAACAAAGTGTAATGGCAACTCTAGTCCCACCACTGGACAGGGAAGTATCTCCATGAGAGAAATATGGAGTTACTTGTGAATCTTTGGCGGGTGATCCTATTTTACCCCAACCCACCCATAGTGGTAATTGGGTGATTCCAATCTCTGACTAGATCCTTTTGGGACAGCTGACAGCTACTCACATTGAACTACACATAGCTCAGAGGCACTCTTGGCACCTGAAAAATAAGCACCCTTAAGCTGAGCCACTGTCAATCCTGTGAGACCTTCCACAAATATGCTTCATTGCTTGATGGATGCAGCCAGGAAGTCCACCAGGAAAGGGTCTGACCAGACTCTGTCTACACACTGCTTCACTGCTGGATGCACAGCTGACTAGCACTGTGGTGCAAAGTGGTATTTGTGGAAATAATTTGGTAACTGATTCTTTTTAATTTAGCTTCCTTGGCTGTAAGAGAGAAAACCCTTGCCCTTCCTTCTCCTTCTTCCCTTGCCCCACCCTCAACCCTGATTTGTAATAACAAGACAACTGGGAATGCAGCTCTCCAGCTTTTCTGGGACAAGTTTGTCAGATCCAGGGGATTATTTATATATTTATTTTTTGGTTTTATTTTTGTTTGGCAAGGGATTGGGAAGCATTTTACGAGAAAGCAATTGAAGTTTACAGAGGTAGGAACCTTACACTGTTAATCTTAGACATTTTCATACCTAATGGTAATGAAACATAACAATGTTAAATTTTAGCTGGTTGCATAAACCCCACAGACCTCTGTGATAACACCAGACAAATATATGGAAATCAATAGGTTTCATAATAAGAAAGGCAGAAGCACCTAAGGAGAACTACTATATTTACCCAAATCCAAGATGACTTGGAATTTAAGATGACCCTCCAAAAATTAAATTCTATACATGGAAAATTATAAATTTGTTATGATTTTCCATGCATATAAGATGTTATTGGAGGGTCATATTAAATTTGTCCCCCTGCCTGTTCTCCAGGGTGAGGAAAGTAGTGCTGGGAGGAGAGGGAACAGATTCCCACCCCTTGCCTTCCTGCCTGTCATCAGTGAGTGCATCAGGGAGT